AAAAAAAAAAAAAAAAAAAAAAGATAAAGAAGAAAGAAAGAAAACAAAAGAAAAAAACTTCAGTGAGTGAAAGCAACTCATTGTTGGACCATAATCCTTCTTTGATGAATCTCTCACATTTCTGCATGTATTGCTAGCAAGGCACTGAATGCTCTTTGTTCTGGATTTTCTTTTTAAGGGTGCTTATACAGCAAACACCCCCGGAAGACAGTCTCTCCAGAGTGACAACAGGCATGCTTACTGCTCATTATAAAATAATGGGGATCCACGGTTTATGGTTTCTCTCTTAGAACCCACTGAATGCAGAGATGTCATGGTTTTGCCCTCTGAGAATTAGAGCCAGGAAACCAGAGAAAAAAAAATGCTGAGAGTCTGGCTAGTGCTATTACTAGAATAATAGACTTTCCATTGTCCCTAACCCAGGAGTCGAGTGAGTTACACGAGTATCCAGGAAACTGTGTGCGGCAAGCTTAGTTTGCAAAGTTTGGGTAAAGTTTCCGACCCTTCACATTTCCTGGCACTCATCAACCCCACGCTCTCTTCCTAGAGGGAAGGAAGGGTGTGGACAGCATTCTTTAGCACCCCTATCTAAATGAATTCATACATGTAAGTAAATACAGGTATGTTATATATTTAATACATATATTTAGTCATATATATATAACTAAAATTAATATAGTTAATACTGTGTTACATATTTGAAAATTGCTAAGAGAGTAAATCTGGAATGTTCTCATCACACACAAAAATTTTTTTTGGCATTATGTTCTGTGACAGATGTTATCTGTGAAGTGATCTGTGGTGATCACTTCACAATGTTCCCAAATACTGGATCATTACATTGTACAAGCTGAAACTAATACATTGTATGTCAACTGTACCTCAGAAAAAAGAAATAAATTTTTAAAAATGACCGAATTAAGGGGTGAATTCTGATTTATTTTTAGGATCGCTCAAAACTTCATCATAGTCACCTATAAGAAATGTCACCACGCCCAAGAAAAATAAGTTAAATCACTAGTATCTACATCTCTGGGGGTTGGGGAACCCTCAAGGAGCCAGACACTGTGGTCAGCACCTTTGCTGGTTTTCTTAGCTTGGCAACTGGTGAACTTGGATGGGAAAAATATCTACATTCTCAAAATCTCTAACCTTGAACTGAAATCTGGCATATCCTTCCCGTAAGAATGTAGGGAACAAACTATGGTCCGAAGTTCCTGTGGTTCTGTCACCAAGGAAAATCACTGACATTTTTCTCATTGAGGAGGGCAACACAGGCAAGAGAGATGTAGCTTAAATTAATGAATTCATTAATCTCCTTACAACCCGCAGCACACGGATTCAAAAATCCTGAGACACGCAGCACCTGACAGTCCTCAAGGAACTCACGGCTGCCTTAATGCGCACGTGTTATTAACAACCTAAAGCTCCCTTAACGATAGCCAGACCTCCAGGGTCCTGGGCACCCTGCTCTCAGCACCCAGAAATTCCTGAAACTTCCCTTAGCTCTACCTTCCCTCCCTCTACAAACTTAAACGTGTCTCATCGGTCCCTCCCACAATCACAGCTGCAGCTCTTCCTGCCCACTGTCCCGACCCTGTGCTGTCATAGAAACACCTTTTGGCACCCAAAACGTCCCAATAATTCTTTCCTGGCCCTTCGCCCCGGACCCCCCCCTCAGAGCATGTCAACATCTCGTACTCACTGTTTCGACGTGACGCGTCCTGAGATGGGTCTTGTCGTTGAGGGGACAGTGCGTTCACGCCGTGTCACTTGTTATTTCACTCGTTCGGGAACTGCTGTGTCGCTCGACTGGCTCTTTCGTCCTTCTAGGGGTTTCGTACTGCTCTTTAGAAGCAGTCGCGAGAAGGGCTCCCCGGGCCGCTTCAGGAGGCCAAAGAGCCTCGGGGAAGCTAACAGAGGCAGAGGCCGCGCACCGAGACACGGCGGGTTCCGACCACCCCTTGCGGAAGGGAACTTGGGGTGAGCGCCTGGGACCCCACGCCTGAGCAAGGTTGTGCGGGGTCCAAGCAGTGATAAGGGCAGGAGCCTCACGGCCCCAGCCTCCCTTTGCTCCCAGGTAGGGTCCACAGAGGCCGCCCAAGGGCCTAGAAGGGCCGGAAGTGCTTCGCGGGCCGCGCCCCGGGCGGATGCAGGCGGGCCCTCGGCGTTCACGGGGTTGGCCCACGTGCAGCGGCCTGCCCGGGCCGCTGGAGGCCTGGCGCGGGTGCTACGGAGATCCCTGTGATGCTTCTGCAGGACAGGACTTTTAGAGTGGGCAGTAAGGCTCTCGCAGGAGGCCTGGAGGCCAGCAAGGAGGAGGCCACGGCCGGCTGTGGGGAAGGTCAGAGGCCCGTCCTGGTAGCGTCCGCCAGAAGCTGGATCCCACCAGGCAGGCCCAAGATGGCGGCGCCAAGACCGGAAACCCCTGGGCAAGGGAGGAGGGAAAAAGCGGGAAACCCTGCTTCCCGCCGCAAGTGATGAACACTCCGCCCCCTAGTTAACTGTAAAAGAAACACAACCCCTAGGTTGCACAGCTTGCGCGCGCGCTCGCTCTTTTTCTCTTTTTGTCTCTCTCGAGCTGTGTGCTCTCAAGTCTGGAGATTGTACTTTTTAATAAACTTTCCCACGTGTGTCACTGGTCCGCTGTGCTGCGCGTCTGTCCCTGAATTCCTTCTCATGATGAGGCCGGGGACCTCCCCAGCTCACCAGCCAACAGAACTAAGCCGGACAAGGGTGGATACAGGAAAAGAAGTTTCCCTCCCACGTCTTTCCAGCTCTTCCGGGAACCAATGCTCAGTTTTAAGGGTCAGAAATTTAATTATGGAGCCCTCTGGATCACTCAGTCTGTTTGGTATCAGACACCCAAATTCTCAAAATATTCATAAACCGGGATGTTAATTTATGAATTTACAGATGGGAATGTAAGTGCCAAGTGGACCGAAAAAGTGGGCAAGGAGGTTTATAGTGTAGTTTATTATTTCCTAATTTGCTCTTCCCTGCTTAGAAATATTTGTCTAAAAAACTAGCATCTTTGTACAGAAAAAATAAACCTTTCTAGCTTTATGTTGCTAGAGAAGTACTGCCTAAATTCCATATGACCACTTCCCCCTGGAATTTAGGGTCCTTTCAATACTACCCTTATTCACTGGAAATTATAACTGTTTAGCCACAGCATTATTATTTCTTGCATTTCATTGTTTCCTAATGGTATCTTGGGAAATTCCTTGATTTACTCAGAAACTAGATGGATTACATTTGAAATTTATACCACTGATCTTTCAACAATGAGGAATCTTCTAGGCCCTGGAGTTGTAGACCTGGGTCTTAATTTGGATTTTTCTATTCATTGTCTGATCTCAAAGCAAATTATTTAATCTCTCTTTGCCTCAGTTTCACTGAATGTAAAGTAAAATGGGAATAGTAATATTCAGCTCATAGGGTCGTGGAAATAAAATTATGCATGGAAATCATTGGACAGATAGAGTGGCAAACAATGAGCACTTAAGAAATACCTTATTGGGGCGCCTGGGTGGCTTAGTGGGTTAAAGCCTCTGCCTTCAGCTCAGGTCATGATCCCAGAGTCCTGGAATCAAGCCCCACATCGGGTTCTCTGCTTCCCCCTCCCACTGTCTGCCTGCCTCTCTACCTACTTGTGATCTCTGTCTGTCAAATAAATAAGTAAAATCTTAAAAAAAAAAAAAAAAAAGAAAGAAATACCTTATTATTATTAAAAAAAAAAAACCTACTAGAATTTGGTTATACGTTTAAATCTTTTCTGATTCAACAATTTATTGAACATCTTCTATGCACCATATTCTCTTAACATCTTTGCAGATGTTTTTACCCTTACTAGAAGGCTTTCCCCCACTCCTTCCTTGCTTGACCAACTTCTGTTTTCATCTTGCTGCTTCAGTGTCAAAATGACCCAGGAAGTTCTCACTAAAACCCCTTTATGCTCTGACATCAGGGGCAGGGCTCCTGCCGTTATTACCACAACACTAAGCACAGTACCCTGTGGTGACTTTATTGCATTTGACTTTGGACTTTGAGGACAGGGATGTTTTTCCCCAGTCCTGACCTGTTGCTTAGCAAAGAGAAAGCAGATAGATGTTTGCGTTTACCAAAGAAAATGGAGTGGGGATAGTTAAACAGAGGGAAGGACAGTAATACAGCATGATAAAGTAGAATTTCTTGCAATTCAGTGTGACAGCCATCTAACTGGTCTTCCTCCTTCGACTCTTGCCCTCCCCTGACAGCCTATTGTCCACCCCCCACCCTCAACACTTTGTGTTCTGTGTTGGAAACTCTTAACGGTATCCCATCACTTTCAGAGAAAATCACAGCTTGGAGCATCTTCCATTTCCTGGCCTCTAGCTATCTCTGCAATCATATCAGCTATCATCCTTATCCATCTTCTTTCCAATTCAGCCCCTTCTACTTCCTTGTTCTTCCTCAGTGAGCCAAATAGCCAAACACGTGTTCACCTCCGGTCTGCTGGAGTGTTTTCCCCACATATTGACATCCCCTCCCTTATTTCATTAAGGGCTCTGCTCAAGTATCTCATCATCGATGACTTCCCTAACCACCCTATCGAAATTGCACCCACTTTTAGTTGTTTACTTAAGGCCCCTCCTCCCATAAATATGTGTATTTTCTACTTCTCTCCCCAGGCTCAACCAGAATATAAGCTTGGTGAAAGAAGAGACTTTGTTGCCCCCAGCACTTGGACAATTCCTAGCATTAAAAAGAGTAAAAATGGGAATAAAACTGTGTAGAAACAAAATTATCTGCACATACACAACATACAGTTTACCTATGTAGAAAACCCAAAAGAACATACAGACATATTAATTAGTGAGAGTTTAGCAAGGTTGCTGGATATAAACATCAGCTTTAGTTAAAAATGGAAAAACGCAGTAACTAAAAATACACCATAAGAACAGCATCAAAAAGTATAAAGTCCCTAGGAAATATTAACAAAAGACATTTATGGAGAAAATTATAAAACTTTATTGAAAGACATTTAAAAAGGCTAAATAAATGAAGAACTGTATCATGTTCATGGATTGGAAGACTCAACATTGTATTATTTAGTCTATAAATTCCGTACAAATCCAATAAAAATTCCAACATTTTTGTTTTGTTTTAGAACTTGTCAATCTAATTCTAAAAGTTGTACAGAAGAGCAAATGGCTAAGAGCCAAGATACTCCCAAGGAAGAAAAATTTGGTGGTGATTTTTTTGGATGTGGGATTTGTCCTGAGATATGAAGACCTGTTTCTAAAGTTGTAGTACTCAGGATTGTATGGTACAGCCACAAGGTTAGACAAATTGACTGAAAAGAAATAATCAACAGACCCACCCACACAGAGACTTTACTTATGAAAGAGCTGGTGTTATAGATCAGTGGGAAAAGAATAAACTATTCAGAGAATGGTGCTGGGGCAACAACCACTTATCCATATGGAAAAAATACTATATTGAACTTCTATCTCCTACTTTTCACAAAAATCAGTTCAGAGCAGACTAAAGACAAATGTGAAAAGCAAGACTATAAAAGGTTTACAATGCAGGAAAGAATATCTCTATGACTTTGGGTAGGAAATGATCCCCCTCCCACCAAGCTAATTTGTATTCAGCTTTATCAGATACTTTTCAAAACCAGTTATTTCCAGGAGGACAATCCATAACATTTTACAACTTTTAAACTCCCCTCCCCCAAAAGTCAACAGTCTTCTGTTGTGTTTGAAAAGGCGGGAGTTCTCAGAAGGGGTGGATATTTCACAAGAGGCATGGAAGATCTTTTCACAGGTCAACTCGGACACGGAAGAAAGGAACTAAAAACTCTAAGATCATCAATGCAATGATCTACAAACTACAAAGGAATCTTGGCTCTTTGGAGCAACACCATCTTGGTGTTATCACCAGGAAGCCTGAGTACTGTTACCCAGCATGGGATTTTAGGGGAGCCAAGGCCACATCACAACTATTTCAGGAAGTCAAGTATATGCTGATGGCATCAGGAAAGAAGACATGAAGTTTTGCTTCTCTGTGCTGTAAGGCTTCTAAGCCAAAGTGGCTGACATGTGTGAATGTCAGAGAATCTCTCCTGGGAACCAAGAATAATCTTCAAAAACAAGGACAGAAAATCCCATCTTCCCCCATTTCAAGCCAGCTTCTGAGACATTCTATTAGTGGTATTTGCACTTTCCACAAAGGACAACAACAATGCATCTTGTATGCTAACAACGTTAAGTTTGGGGAAAAAAACACAACACCCAAATTCTACATTTTTATAAAACTTGATTAAAGAAAAATAGTATTTCAAACAGTAGAGTCACTAGAAGTACAGACTATCAAAAAAGTACACTTCACTTGGCATCCCCACTGCCTTCTGCTTTCTGTGACTGGACTGTGGAAGCATCTAGGTTCTTTGCAGCGTTGTTCCCCTCCTTGCCACCATCTGCTTTCCCCTTTCTCCCTTTGGGTAGCTTCTCTCCTTTCTTTGCAGGGGCCTTTTTAGGCCGGGATTCTGGTTTTGGAGGAGCCGGTTTAGCAGACAAGCGTGCCGATCTCCTCTGCGGCTCATCCTTCACCTTCCCTTTGTCACCTTTAGCATCTCCTTTGGCCTTTCTCTTGGGCATGGTGGCAGCAGCGCTGGGCAGGTGGCTTGGCCAGACCAGGCAGGGGGGCGGTTTCTGTCTTCCTCCCACTGCTCCTAGAAAGATTTCTTTAACAAACACAAAAAGTGTCAACCAAATGGGAAAGACTGACAAATTTAACTACATTAAAATTCAAATTTGGCTATAATAAAATGAATAATTTGTGTAAATCAAAGATAGTATGAAAAAGTAAAAAGGTAAGTTATAAGCAGGGCAAAGATATTCCTAACACACACAACTGACAAAGGATTTGAATCCAGGATATATAAAGAATTTCTACAGACATATGAGAAAAGGACAAAAGGAAAATTTTAAAACAATGAGCAAAAGTGCAAACAAGTACTTCATACATGTAGTATAAATGCTGAAGAAGCACATAAAGTATGCTCAACCTCATTAGTAGTATGAGAAATGCATACTAACACTTTATACCCATCAAACTGGTGGAAACTAAATGGACAAAATCAAGGGCTCAGCAGATGTACAACAATTAAAATGCTATACATTGCTGGGATGTGTGTTTCTGTGTGTATAAATTAGTGTATTAAATCTGAAAACATTCTGAAAGCAATTTTACTTCTGAGTGTTTCCCTAGAGGAATTTTTGGAGACATGCAGAGGAGATCCCTACAAGAATGCTTATGGTGACTCTGTAATTTCAAAACCCGACATCACCCACTGGCCTTCAATAAGAGAGTAAATACGTTTAGTAGCATCTCTGGAAGGGAATGCTATTCAGAAGCAGAAATGAACAGATGGCAGTGACATGCAAAAACACGGATGAATCTTCAAGAACATACTGTTGGGCAAAATGACAGGTTGCAAGATATGTGTAGTACAGATCCATTTCCAAGTACAAAAGTGAATGACACGTTTAGGCTATAAGCATGTAGTAAAACCGAAAAAAAAAAACCCACAAACAAACAAGGGATAAAGATAAAAATTGGGACAGTAGTCACATCAAAGGGGGTTGAGAAAGGGATGGTGGTTGGAGAGAGGAAGAGGGTCCAGAGAAAGGGGTGGAGGTAAAATCCTCTCCCTTGAACAGAGGTGGGTAGGGAGGACGACATGGCTGGTGTACTATTCTCTAGATTCTACACAGAGACATTTTATGTATCTGCCCAAGAATTAATAAAAACTACATTTATTTTTTTAAATTTTATTTATTTATTTGATAGAGACAGAGATCACAAACAGGCAGAGAGGCAGGCAGAGAAAGAGGGGGGAAGAGCAGGCTCCCTGCTGAGCAGAGAGCCCGATGCGGGGCTCGATCCCAGGACCCTGAGATCATGACCTGAGCCGAAGGCAGAGGCTTTAACCACTGAGCCACCCAGGTGCCCCTAAAAACTACATTTAAAACGTATGTAGCCCAAAGGACAGGTTCAGGGATACACGAAATGGAAAGTGATTTATTTTTAGTCTGGGTCATTAGGACCTGGGCGGATGGCTGGCACCCACAAGCACTGTGTGAAGTTTTTTAAAGCTTTAAGCCAGGACTAGCTCCTCACACCTCTGCCCCACCCTCAAAAACATTCCCTGGGGATTTCTGTAACCTTATGCCCTGTCCCACTCTACAATGTTTTAAAAAAAAAAAAAAAAAAAAAAAAAATTGTGTTATCTTGTCCCTAAATTGCTCCAAATCTTGTTTTGTTCTGTTTTGTTTTTGCCGGACCTCACTATGTGGATACGTAGTGGGCAAACATGATCCTTGGCTAACAAAAGTGAGCACCTACAAATGGTGCTAAAACATCAAATTTATCTATTTTTCTCCCCATTTTTTTCACCATAACTAAAATTACCAGACATTCTGCATTTTTTTCTTTCCCTCATGTGCAACACAGGGAGAAACGTGTTCGTATAAAGAAGAAAGGAGAAGCAAAGTGCCTTGAATCAGTCAGTATTTTTTCCTTGGTAACCTTGTAAGAAACTTTGGGGACAGAGCGAAATTGAGAGGAGAAACACTTACATTCTCATGCTGAAAGCGACTCACTGAAAAGCAAATGTGAAATTAGCTGGACCCTTCTCTTCCCTTACTGTGCTCTTCCCTTGCCTCTAAATATTCTAAATTCCTGAGGGCCAAAAAGTCCCTGTTGCCTCAGATGCACGCTTGCCGTTCCGACCCAGGAGACTCCGCCTGCTCTCTGCCGAGAACATGCTTCCCTAGACATTGAATGAATTTATGCCTAATTTATTCCCTTTTTTCTCTCTACCAAATGTATCACTAAAGAAATGTGTGAACAATCCTTACAGAACAAAAGGCTTTTTTTTTTTAAGTCCAAATTCTGACACAATAAAGAAAATAATTTTGAAGGAAAATAATTGAGAAAGACGCCAGAGATCACATTGGTCTACTCTGGGTATGGTAAAGGTGTGCCCACAAAGGAACAGGTAGGAAAAGACAGCTGTTCTTAAAATGAGCAAACCAACATTGATAGATATTTTATGGCATGAAAATCATCTGTCTAGTATTAGGGTGATGTGGTCTATACCTGTTGCCCTGGCATAATTATTTATAATGCTCCCATTCATTCTCAAAGGTGTGCTAGCTTGAATAGAAAATGAAAATGTCACTCTAAACCTTCTGCATATATTTTTAGAGACCTTTCTGTTACCAGAGAATGAGAGAGAAAACCAAAGGGTGAGCTTTTGTTCTAGGACACACTTCCCTAAAGAATGGACACTCCATACCATTCTCCTTCCATCTCACTCCAAAACTGTGTTTCTTAGCCCAAGTCCTGGTGTGGGAATGCTCACAGTCTGTTTCCTGGGCTCAGTCTTCTTCATGTTAGATCCCTTGCAGTCCATCCCAAGCAGGGGGGCCATGATCTCCACATGTCAAAGGCCGAAACACAGCAGGTAACAATAAAGATAAATTCAAGGAAAACAGGCCACTGTCTGGATGCTGTATCTGAGTACACGAATATGGATTAGTTCCTTGAAACTCACCTTTAGGAAGCTTATCAGGAGACCACGGGCTGACTCTCCAGAGACCTTACAAATTAGGAGACAGATACACAAATAAGGAAAAAGGGCCAGTGGGGTAAAAGGCATTTCATTTCCGTGAAGGCCAAGGAGGGATGGGGAGGGCAGCGTTCTCACCATACAGTGGTGTTAACTGAAAAGAAATTACTTGAGGTGGAGTACCGGGGACCTTTTAAGGACAATGAAGCTATTCTGTACGCACTATAATTGTAGATACATGGCCTTATGCATTTAGTAAAACTCAACTGTATACAAAGAGTGAAGCCTACAGTAAACAACGAATTCAGTTAAGAATAATGTGGAAACACTGGCTCATCAGTTGTAACAAATGTACCACACCAATGCAAGTTGTTATTAATAAGAGAAACTTCAAGAACAGGAGAAACTACTTTCTGCTTAATTTGTCTGAAAAACTAAAACTGCTTTTAAAAAAATAAAGTCTCTGAAAAACTAAAACCGGTCTTAAAAAAATAAAGTCAACTAATTTAAAAAAAAATATTTTAAGAATTAAAAAAGGGGGAAATAATTTGTTAGACAATAAAATAGAGAAGTCACAGGACTACAAATATCCCATCATGCATGTGAGAGAAAAGAAATATTATGAACGGGCAGATAAAACATATAAGTAATTGTATAACTTTGGGAACACAGAGATAGGACTTTCAATGCAATCGCCAGGGCAATAAATTATCAAGACATGGCAACAATTTTTAAAGTTTTAGGAATTTAACAATTCCCCTTTGTTAAAATAACACTTCCAAGGACAGAATTATATTAACAGAGAACAGAACAAACAAAATAGTGAAAGCGTTGAATCATTCATCTTCGCATTGCAAAGAATCGGACTGAAATTCCTGGGAAAGTTCACAATTTAACTCTTCATTTAACCAGACTGCTTGTTCTCTAATGTGGAAAGCTTCTCTCCCTCAGCAGCCTCAGGGGAGAGGGAACATCTGCTCCAGCCTTTTTAAAGAATACTTTTGTTAGCTACGAAGACTTGCATATTTTCATTAGAAGCAGACCCACGAAGTTTAAATTAACTGGTAGAAGTAGCTTTAAAAACACAAAAGTCAAATAAAAAGCAAAGAGTTATTTCAGCTGCAATAAAAATATGCAAATGATGAGTAAAATGAGGAGATGCAGGTGTGCTACCGTCTTCTGTGAGGTTAACTGCTGGGAAATCTCCAAATTCTGTCAATAATATATCTACTACGTCAATCTCAGTCCCCAGATGTGAGCTCAATTTGTGCCCCCACCCACCCACCCAAATTCATAGTCTGAAGTCCTAACCCCCAGGACCTCAGACCGTGAATGTATTTGGAGATGGGGACTTTAAAAAGGTAGTTAAGGAAAAATGGGTCATATGGGTGGGTCCCAATCCCATATAAGAGTAGATGAGGACACAGACAATACAGAGGGGTAACCGTGCAAAGAGGTAGCAAGGTGACCATCTGTGAGCTAAGGAGAGAGGCCTCGGAAGAAACCAAAGTGCCACCATCTTGATGCTGGACTTCCAGCCTTCAGAACTGTGAGAAAATAAATTTCCGTGGCTCACCACACGCATTCTGTTGCGGCAGCCCTAGCGGACTACCACAGGAGGAAGGAGTGTAAAGACCTTAGGGACCTACAACACATCTCGGATCAGATTCATTTTGAGGTTTTGCATAGCTCTCAAAATCCTTTTCCCATATTTTTTTTCACTTTCATTACAGGCCTGACTCCAGTATCCATGGAGAAAAACCTACCTCATCCTACACACCCCACCCCATTTCCAGCAAACGGGTACAAGGCACATTTCAGCAGCATCCTTTGGTTCCCTGGACTGTTACTGACCCGGATTTCTGGGAAATAGTTCTAACTTGGGTTCTAGTCTTGATCCCACCCCCAAAGTCAGAAGGCCACCTTCTTCGCTCTGTACCTTGGGGTTGCAGGGAAGACCTGGGAGAAGGCTGCTAACATCAAGCTTAGGAAAGAGAGGATAAAGGCTATAACAAAATAAAAGACTGTAGGTAGGGTGCAGTGTGCCGCAGGAGCAAGAGCTCTCGTGGCATATGGGCCACAATCTAGAGCCCACTTGTTCTCCACCTTCCAAAGGAAGTATCAGCCACGGTGGGCAGCCTGAGCTTCTGTTTGGCATTGAGGGAGACTGGGGGAGGAAAGGGTGGTAGAAAGAGGTGAGAAAGGGCAGAGTGTCTGAAACCCTAGGTCTCCTGCATTTTGCCAGAAAACACCTAGTTGGAAGAGAAGCAGAGAGCCATAGACTCAATGAAACGGTCACTCATCTGCAACTGGTGGTCTTGGGGCACACTCCGTTTCCCAGCTACAGGACTCCCGCCCACTGGCATCACAGAGGGATGGGAGAGGACAGATCTCCCAGCACCTCCCAGGCCCCTGAGACCCATGCGTCCTTTCAAGGCACCACATTAACTCACTTGTATTTCTGAGCAGTCGAGAAGAGACTTCAAATGAAAATGTCTCAGATACAACTCTAGGAGCACATACCAAAGCTAACTATTGTCTTGCTAACAAGGAAATTAACAAGATGGTAAAAGCAAGGGTTTTTCTGAGAAGGTATGACAATGGACGGGGGAGACGGAGCTGGGGAGAGAGAGGAAGAGAAACAAAACCACAGCTCATTAGGTAAAGATTATCCTTTCTTTTTTTCATAGCCATAAAAACACCATATTCATAGCAGTCATTCATTTCAGGGAACGTAGAGCAATGGGGCCTGAGAGACTAGGCTTGGCTAAGCCCTAAAAGTAGTAGTAGTAGCAGCAGCAGGAACAAAAACAACGGAAGCAGGAGTAGTCGTAATAACACATCCAAGACAACCCTCAGGATATACCCGAGGCTGTCAGGGAATATCCAGACTTTTCTGCACCGGGAAAGCCCCTGATGGATGCAATGACCACGGAAGCAGGCCGTGTGTCAGCCAGAGGTCGCGGAGGCCACACACAGGGCTCAAGATCTGAATTTCAAGAGGGGATGCCAGGGGCTTTCCTCAAGCTTCGAGGCAACACGCGGAGTCCACAGCTGGTCCGTTTCTTAACTTTGGGTTCGTTTTCTTTCTTTTGGCGGGGAGCGCACAGGGCCAGGTGGCGGAAGCCGCGGGCCTTGAGCGTCCGCCGGGTGGGCTCTCCCGAAGGCGAGGCCTCACGGAGCCAGGCAGCGGGGAGGGCGAGGCCGCGGCCAGGCCAGGCCGGACCACCCGCCCGACAGCTCCCAGCCGCGGGCCCGCGCCGCCGCCCCCAACTTCGCCCCGGCGTCTCTGCGGGGCCGCGGGCGCCGCTCCCGGAGACTGGCGCTCCCGGCCGCCAGCGGTACCGTTACTGTGGAGAGGCGGGGTGGGCGGGCGGCGGCGGCCCTCACCGCGACCGGGCCCGACCGCCCGAGGGTCCCCAGCACGCGGGGGGCGGCCGGGCCACCCCACTGTCGGGAGGCGCGCGCGGAGGCCTCCGCTGCTTACCCGAGTCCCGCGGCCGTCGAGAGGCGCGGGCGCCCAGGTGCCGCCCGGGCCGCGCGGGTGCCCTCAGCTGGGGCAGGGCCGGCGCGGGCCGTGGGGCCGAGGGGAGACGCGCGCAGCGGGCCCTGCCGGGAACAGGAAGGTGGCGGGCGGCGAGGAACCGCTTCCGGGGCTGCGGGCTGCCGGCCGCCTCGCGTCGGAGCGGGGGAGAGCGGCTTCTCCCCTCGCGATACGTCAGGCCGCCGCCGGGGCCGCGGGACTCCGACCCACCTCGGGCGGTGCCGCTTCCGCACCGCGGCCCGGCCACAAGATAACAGAAGGCGGGGAACGTATTTATATATATATATTTTTTTAATGCATAAGAAAAAATTTCAATTAGTTAAAAATTGGAGTACCACTTGTTTCCGCCCGGTTTCGAACCGGGGACCTTTCGCGTGTGAGGCGAACGTGATAACCACTACACTACGGAAACGCGGCGGCGAAACACTGCTCCAGAGCGCAGTTCTCCCTGCAGAACACGCCCTCCCGTCCTTGCAGATGAGTGTTTACATGCGTGTGCATCCGTGCACCTCGAGCGCTCACACGAAGCACGCCACTGGACGCAGATCAAGCCCTTGCAGTGTACAAACCTAAAACCAAATCTTTAACCATTTATTCTGAAAATGACCAGTTGGAGGAAAACAATAGAGAGTCCTCAATCTTTATGAAACTCGACCGCAATGGGCATGCCCCGGCACCGTGCACATTCCGCGCGCACCCGGCTCGACAGGGGGTGACGACCCAACTGTGCTAAAAGCGCCGGCTTCTTGCTCCGGAGAACTTGGAGGTAAACCTCCCTTCGCCCCAATTTTCGGACTCCATAGACCTCCTCGGCGGTGTGCGCAGAGGAAAGGAGTAAAAGATATTACGCGCCCGAGCCAGCCAGGAGTCGAACCTGGAATCTTCTGATCCGTAGTCAGACGCGTTATCCATTGCGCCACTGGCCCGCGCGGGAGTGTGGGGGCGCCTGTCCGCCTTCGTGAGGACGCAGGCGCCGGCGGGTCCCGGCGAGGCGCGCTCGCGCTGGGGCCGCGCTCCCCGCTGCCCAAGCTAAGCGCCCGGCGGGTCCCCTGCAGCCGCCTGCTTGCGTCCCGGCGGCCGCGTCCTCTCTGCCCGCGCCCCCCTGCATCCACGCGTTCGCTCACCAGCTTGTGTTACCTGCCGTTCGAGGCGCTGGAAGCCGATCCGAGGAGAAAAGAGATACGATCCCTGCCCTTCGCGAAGCTTACGACCATGAAGCATTCATTACCTAAGTAAAACAATCACGATAAGCCCTTGAAGGAAAGCTAACAAACCGGGAAGGCTAGGGAAGCAGCATCAGCCGGCACGCACATGGATGCTCTCACTCGTTCGCTTTCTCAGCAAGCACAGAAGCATCTCTTCCGTGTGCGAAGTCGGCCTCTGTATTTCGGAGAAGTAATTGTTATCTCCATGCCTCGGGGAGCGCTGCGAACATGCTGAGAGCTGTTAACGGACTGAGTGAAACTGCCTGATATTGAGGACATACGCGATGAGTTTAGAAAATAGTTGTTTTCAGCTCATAAGATGTCAGCAGCCCTTTGGAAGATCATACATGTTGCTACTCTTTCTGCATAACATTAAAGTCTATCTACTTAGGAATTTCCCCCTGGACAGTAGAGCAGGGGACTTCTGACGAGGTGTTGTACTGTACCCCTAGGGCATTTTGGCGGCTATGGGCTGCCTCACAAAATAACTTTTAAATATAACGAAAAAAGATAAATACAGAAGATGTCAAAGGGCAATCAATTGTATTGGAATATGTTATTAAAATATTAAAAATGTATGATATGGTAATACTTGTGCTCCTTTATTAATGCACTAAATGACAATATATAGCAGGAGGTCTAATAAATACTGTAATTTCAAAGCACTCATGAGCATAAATGGTATTTAAAGCAATTTGTTAACAACTGTACTTTGATATAAAATATTTATGATTTCCGAAAGTAATAAAGTCAAAAAGTCTGAAATACAACCGTGATCTGTTGCCTACATTCATAGTCGAAGAAAACCCATAATTTCAGTAACAAGTTAGTCAAGATAAAAATGTATTTTCCCAACCCAGTTCAGAGACTATCCCCTCCCTATAAGAAGCAAAAGGAGATTTCTTGAAAGAAGTTTGGAAACATGAACAATTATGCTTGAATTTTCAGAAATGAAGCGAACAGGTAATTCTTGGTCCTATTTTGTGCTAATCACATACCCAGCATGGACAGGGTAGGTCCCAAGGTGTCACTGGAGCCATTGATTCCATCTTGCACCACTAAAATGGGCTTCGGCTCAGAGAACTGGAGGCCCTGTCCACATTTGCTCTCCTCCCTTTGTTGTGCAGATTTTGAAAGCTTCTCTTGCTGCTTCAAACCTCTCTGCCAGGTTCACAAGCCGGCATGAGCTGAGGCAGGCTTTCATTTCGTTTTTGGAGAGCTTTCTCCCATGCCTTCTTTTCTGAAAGTTCCGGTTTCTAGTTTCCAGTCTTTTCTTCAGTGGCTGTACCAGTCAGAGAAACAGAGTCCAGAAAAAACACAACTAGTACGAGAATATGAATGAATGAAGAAGTATTTCTAGGACTGGCAAGTCTGAACTCTGCTGGGAGGGCCTGTACTTAAGAAAATGTCAGGCAGGATCTGATGCGACAGTCTTGAAACCGAATTTCTTTTTCCTCAGGAAAACTTCCATTTTATTTTCAAAGCCTTTCAACTGGTTGGAAATAATTGGTTCAGCTGGTGG